TCGTGTCGCATGCGCTTCGCCAGCTCTGCGCCTTCTGGCTTGCGGCCCCAAACTGCGAGATGCCACGACCAGTGGCGCATGCGCCTCCTCGACGACTCCTCCGCAATGCCGCGGCGCCGGCCGAGCTTCACCTCGCCCTTGCCGCCCTCGAGGAGATCGATGGCGGCCTCGCGCTCTGTCACCCCCGGGGTGAGAGCGAAGTACACGCGGCCTTCAGTGTCACGGCCGAGCGGCGCGAAGCGGGGGATGCACTCCGCCGAGGCAACCCTCCGCGCATGCTCGATCGTGGAGAGCGCGGCCTTGTGTGCGAGACGGGCGGCGCGTCGGTCAGTCGGGGTGCTGTCCTTTGTGTCTAAGGCCTTCCACCGCGCGTTCTCCTCAGCGGTAAGCTCGCGCGCGGTGCGAGTGAGGTCCTTCTCCTGCGCAACAGCGCGGTCGAAGTCGTCTCGCACGGCCTTCGTTTGGATCGCTAGCTCGATGAGCGCACCGACAACAGGAACGAGTTGAGCTGTGCATGTGACACCAGGGGACACATCCAGCGTGTGGCGGGTACCGTAGCGCATGGTGCTCGGAGGTGGTGGTAAAGGGTCGGGGAGAGGGAGGGTCCCATCTTCCTTGAAGGTCGCCAGGGCCGCCGACATTTTGCTCAAGCTCCCACCGCTGGCCTTGATTCTGTGGACGGCCTTGCCAATTGCTGACGAGCGTTGTTGGTCAGAGTCCCTCTGGAGAACCGTCAGGAGCCCGACAAGGGTTGCCTTGAAGGCGGGTTCGCTGACCCAGCCAACAAGCTCGGGTCCGTCAATATCCTGTGAATCCTCATCACTCGGCCCAAGGACACTGCTGCCCAACTCTTCGAACTCCTCGAGGTGCCCTCGGGCGATGTCGGCCAGATGGCCAAAGCGCAGGATGAACTCGCGAATGTCGACCCGACACAGAGCGTCATTGTAGGTTAAGGGAGTGGACATCCGAGTCCAAACCGGCCTGGGCATGACTCGCGGGGCAGGCTCGCGCCTGGGCCGTCCCATGCGAGCCTTTGGCTTGCCCGCCGGTGCCGACTTATTCTTCAGTGTATGAGGAGAAGGAGGAACCAACACGTGGGGTTTAGGTCTAGATGCATGAGGTGAGAGTGGAGTTGCGAGAGCCTTCTTGGGTGTGATTTCGACCTTCGCTTTGGCGGGTACCAAATTGTTCTTCTTGGCAGGAGCTCGTGCGACCACTGGCTTTATCAAAGTCTGTGTAGACTGGCATAAACGTTGGATAGAAATTGCGAGGCAGTCGTGGTGAGTTCGTGAGGACATCTGACGAGTGAACAGCATAAGCTCACGCTCTCCTGAACATCGGCCTGCGCATTTGAGGCTCTGGCTGGCTTACGGGCAACAAGGTGGAGGTCGCTGTGGCAAGGTGAACGGTCTGGATGTGTTCCAATGCGTAAAACCATACCCTGTGGCGGGAAGCCCCTTCGCTTTCCTACATATTCGACAATTGCATTCATCTTTACAACGAGGGCATCTACAGAGGTTGTGAGCGTGATGTGCATATGAGAAATAGGTGTGACCCACTTGAATGTATAGTTCTGGTCCGGTTGAAGGTCGGCCGACCCCGAAGAAGAGGACGCTACTCCAGCCTCCTTGATGGTGTCAACGTCTACTTGGTACCTGTTGCGCATGCAAGCTCGACAATACTTCAGTATGCACTGACGTCCAGAAAGGCGCATTGCTGTGCACTGAATGATGCCTGGATATATGCGCGTTGAGTGGTTGTGTTGCGTGTGATACTGCAGTAGCTAATACCTGAAGAGTCAAACTGCCGAGTACACTGATGACATCGATAGGTAACATCCTCCTTCGCTTCCTTATCAGAGTTGGCAGCCTTGTCGTCTTTTCCCGCTACATTGGCCAGTTTAGGATGCTTCGGGTGGACTGTGGTCTTAGGTTTCTTCGCCTTGGGCGCATGTTCACTGTCCCCGCCCTCGTGCGAGGCGCGAGGCGCGTCCATTGACTTTCGCTTGCGCTTGTTAGAGGTATGTGGCGGAGAAGACGCTTCGGTGTAGTCCGCGTTCATAGCCACGGTCTTCAACGGCGTGTTCTCCTGGTGAACGCTACGACCTGGATCCGCGGTGCCGCCGGATTTGGAGACCAGGGGAAATGGGGGAATCAGGACATAGACCTGAGATTTTCGCCTGAGGGAAGGAGCTGGCATGCTCATGGTTGTGTGCATTCGGCGATGAGTGGTGGTGGTTGTGGTGATGGAGGTTTGGGAAGAGAAGCGGGCAACGACTCGGTTAACAGCAGCCACAATCGCGGCGCGTCGCAACGTCACATGCATCGCGCTTCCACGTGACAATTTGACCTGCCCTGAAGCAAAAGTTTCGGGACGCAGGGGTAAGCGCCGGTGAGGATCAGAGAGAGACCGGTGACGGAACAGCGGTCGTAACTCCTTGTGCTCGACACCGACGACGACGACTAGACATGGCCCACGCTGATCACACAAGAGACCCATGGCAAGCACACCCCTTATATACGTTGACCGACAAAGGTTGATTAGCTTGGGTTTCTTTGACTTAGCCCTTGGGTTATCCTCTCGGACTTCGGTAGCGCCTTCGCCATGGGTGCCGTCGGTGGCACCATCTGGCACGGTATCAAAGGTGCAAGGAATTCACCTAGGGTGCGTAAATACTGTGTGTGCATTGACATGGGTAGCTGACAAAGATGACATAGGGTGATCGGTTGGTCGGTGCCATGTCCGTGATCAAGGCCCGCGCACCCGTAACTGGTGGCAACTTCGGTGTCTGGGGTGGCATGTTCTCGACATTCGACTGTGCAGTCAAAGGCTGGCGGCAAAAGGAGGACATGTGGAACGCGATCATCTCTGGTTTCTTGACGGGTGGCTGTCTCGCTGCGCGAAGTAAGTCCCACTTTCGGAGTATCAATTAGCATGACCATCGGCCACGCATCTCAGTCTTCGCGCATCGTCTCATTCACCGTTGCTGACTATTGCTTGCAGGTGGTCCTCGTGGAGCCCTCACGTCCGCTGTTGCTTGTGGTATCCTACTTAGTGTTTTCGAGGGTGTTGGTGTTCTTGTATCACGAGTATTCAACGAAGGTACTCGGCCACAACTACCACCAAGTCAGTGTTCACAATTTTGATTCCCTTGTCGCATGCTGACATGGAGTTTGCAGTGCCCGAAAACATGCAACCGCAGTAATATTGCTCACCCACCACCCTGGACCTTAGATGTATCTCTCCTCCTACGTTTTCTATGTTCTATTAATGTCTGTCGTCGTTCGCTTCTCTGTATTGCTTGCTTTCCTCCGCTCATACCTATGACGACACGCTAATACCGACTCATTCTCCGGGTTGTCAAAGCACGCAGTAAACGACACAAACGTGAGTCAGTTCACTTTCTGCCTCCCTCGCGCCATGCGCTATGCGAGACAAGACTACTGTGGCATTCATCCCAGGTCACCGCAGCAGTGCATGACATTGGTTGCAGAACTCGTTAATCATCAAATGAGAGTCGGCTCTGTACTGCAGCCTGCGGCCTGTGTGGTCAATCAGCGCTCCCTGGGTTACGAGGCGACTTGTTGAGCAATTGATCTCATCATGTCCTATGGATACATACGCGCGGGTATACATATGTCAAAAACGCCTACCACCCTTACTGCCACCTCCCGCGGGCACCTTGCGCTTTTTGAATAGTGAACCACCTGACGGTGCTGAAGGAGGCGCCTCTGGCTCCGCTAGTTCTTGCTTGACTGACGCCGGCTCATCTTCGGCTTCAACCGTCGAGACAGGTGGGCCCTCTGACGTCGGAATGGTGTCCTTGAACAAGCTCTCGGGAAGAGTGTTATCCTCCTGCTTGACTCCTTCAAGATCCTTGCCGTCTTGCGCTGATCCGGACGAGTTGGCAGGTTCTGGTGTGGCAGTACTGCGTGCACCGGCCGCTGGCTTGTTCCAACCCCGCGCGGACCACCTTGGCTTCTCCGTTCCGCCAAGAAAGGGCAGCCCGCCCGTCGCGCCTGCGTTCGCGGTACTTGCCACAGACCCAAGCGCCTGCGCAGCGGTCTCCTCTTCTGGCTCCTCTTTCTTCGCCTTGAGCTTGATCGGTAGCGCGCCGGGGTCATACAGCTCGCCAAGACGCGCGACCTTCCTCCGTAGCTTCCACCCTCGGGCATCTTCTTCGTCCACGGGTTGCTCCGCGGGGCGTTTGTCTCCCGCCCGCGCGGACGTCTGAGAGTCGGCTGAGGTGGAGGGTTTGACGTCCTCCTGCTCTTCGGGTTCGGAGGGTGCGGGTGCGACCTCGACGACCTCCCACTCGCCCGCGACGCCCTCCTTCTGCCTCCGTTCCGCCTCCGCCTTGCGCCGCTCCTCGTCGGGGTCGGTGTACCCGAGCGACTCGGCCGTCGTGTAGTTCGCGTAGGGGTTCGTGGGCTTCAGGCTAGCTACCGCTTTCTGCCCTGCTTTCGCGGTACTCGGGCCCGCTACAGCCCCGCTACTCCCCGGCTTGACGAGGCCCGCACCGACATCCTGCGCGAACGCTGCCTGCGCTGCCTATACGCACAACGCACGACCCTGAGTCAGCACACACCAATGTGGCTGGGCACTCAGGCGAAAGCCAGATGTACGCACCTTCTCGACGCGCGCCATCTCGCGCTTCTCCTCCTCCAAGTCCTGCTTGCGTTTCTCTCCTGCCTTGTAGAGCCCACGAACGAACCGCTCGACGTTGCCCTTGTGCCGGAGACCGGACTCGTGCTGCCGCCGCGAAGGCGCATCGTCCGCGATGTAGATGTTGCAGTACTTGCAAAAGTATTTCTTGTGTGCTACCCAGTATTCCGACATCCTTCCCGCTGCCTTGTGTTATGAGCTGGAGTTGAAGGTGGGTGGATTCGAAAGGAGACGTCAAGGTCCAAGTCAGAATGTGGCGTCGCGGTGAGTGCGATGAAGCCAGGACGTGGTTGAAGGCGCTTACGATTGAAAGTTGAAACCCGAGTGATTTACATGGCCGACTAGCTCAGTTGGTTAGAGCGTGGTGCTAATATTGGTGTATCTTCACCGGGTAACGCCAAGGTCGTCGGTTCGACCCCGGCGTTGGCCATAATTTTTTGTTAAGTCATTTGATTATCAAGCAGTGCGAATGCCCTCACCAGCCCAGTGTTTGAGAGGAACAGTGGGTGAGACAGAGCAAAAGGCTGCCACTGTGGCTCTTGGTATAGTAGCTACATCACGTATGCTTATCGTGGTACACATGCTCGTCAATACTCCAGTACTTCAAGGTATCATCCCTTCTCCCTTTACCGAAGCAGGCCATCATCGTGCCTGGCACTGTGCCAGGGCTTCTGGCGACCCTGGGGTTTGCGCGATACTCTGCTATCGTGTGACTCTTCCTTGATTGAGGTAGTCGCCTTGAACGACGCCGTTTGTGCCTCCTTGATAACTTGCTTGCTCAAGCAGAAGTCGATGTGCGCGTTCAAGCCCTGATTGTCTGTTTCGAGCACCTTCCCGCATACGGGGCACTCGAGAGTTGACGACGAGGTGTTGCGGTCTATGGCGTTCGACGAGGAGGCTGGTTTGGAACTGCGTCGTTTCGGGCTGAATGACAATGAACCTGAGGAGATCGGAGGCTTGCTCGAAGATGAAGGCTTGGATTCACGCGAAAATGAGGTGGTTGCGGACTTCGGTTTGACTCGAAATGTCTCTGCGGCTGTTGAGGCTGGCTTCGAATCTGGGTGGTCTTCGACATCGTATTCAGCATCGGCCTCCTCTTGCTCATGATAGCCCGGCATCGCGGTGGCAAAGCCATCCTGTGACAAGCTAGGGGGTTCATCCTCATGTCCCTCAACTGGATGAGAGCCTATTCTCCTCTTCTTCCTCGGTACCGGACCTGTCTGTGCAGCCTCGAAGAACTACACATGTCAAAAGTTCACCTTAAGTTGGTTGATCGGACAGCACACTCACTCGTTTGATACCTCGCGCCTTTGACGCAGCCTCTGCTCTCAAGTCTTTGAGTTTGGTCACCCGGAGTCCGATCAGACGGATCGTCAGGGGAAGCTCGGGCTTCAAAAGCTCTGCACCAATCTGGCACATACGTCAAAATCAGTTGGCATAGGGAAACCGAGCTATACATACCGCAAACAAGTCCTCTTTCTTGGTGGATATCCACCGGTCGAATGACTTGGCACGGGTAAAGACTGAGACGACGACAAACGTCAAATCATGGTTTGACACTGCTAGGTGTCAACCCACCTTGGAAATTGTCCAACTTGTACTTCAGCGTGACGGTCTTGCCTGTCCAACCGCCTTCCTCTAGATCATGTTCAAGCTCGGCGGCGATGTCTTCAAGCTTGGCATATATCCTGTCCGTGTCTGACAGGGCATTAAATGTCCTAGAGTCAGGCCTTCAGTGGATGCAAGCAGGTGACATAAGGATGGGTCGCCCACCTCTCCGCTCCAATAGACTTGCGCTCCTCTCGTTGACCGGGTTGGACCACGTTCGATGCAATGCCCAGATGTGCTTGCAGTAGGAACTCGAGGCCGAATTGCTTATCGAGGAGAGCTAAAGTGGCTCGTTGCGTGTAGATATCCCCACATGTCTACGTACCACTTGCGTCAAAGACAGTCCAGCAGGAGGCTATGTAGTATTGTGCGCACCTTGATACCGATAGACTCTAGCAGGCGTTCATTTACTCGGCCAACACCGGGCACTTTACGAATAGAGAGGTCGTGCATAAACGCCTTGATAGCTTGTGGTTTGAAGTCCAACTTGAATTGACCGTTTGGCTTGTTCTAGATAGCGGATCATGAGTCCCATCAACTTCACAATGGCAACAAGTATCCAACCTTGTCTGAGCAAATCTAGGCTCTGTCAGTCTCCCGCCCTGCGTTGCTTGGCAGTCATGCCATGAAGCTCACCTTCGCAAGCATCTATAGGTCCATAGTACCGTCAGACATATTCTTGTGCGCTGTTGGCAGGGCATGCTACCTTGTTCGGTGCTATGCCAGCACTGACCGTGAGCCTTGTCTCCATGTGGACAGTCTCTCGCATCTGCGAGACACATTCCTCAGGCGTCAAAGAATGCTCTCGGCAATATTTCGTAATGCTGTACGAAAGCCTCAGTGGACGACCTTGTTCATGTGTGATTGGGCATACTTGAGATAGCCTTCGTCGCACCCAGCCGCACACATTGTAGGGTCGTATCGCCTGAAGATCTCCATGACCTTGTTCGACATCTCGTTGTAACGGTCAAAATGGCTGGACATGACGATGAGTTCTGGACAAAGCTTCTTGGCCACAAACGCTGTATGCTGGTTGGGTCACTGGTTTGTCAAAAGAGCACCTCACGACGTACTCGCCATGCCGGAGCGCACACCAAACTTGCGAGCTTCATATGAAGCGGTCGAAACGACCCCGCCCCCAACCTGTTGCAAGTCAGCAGGAGACCGATGGTCCGATACTTAAGACTTACGGCGAACGCCTTCGAAGCCAGGTCAGGATTGTCAAGCACTTCTACGCTCGCAAAGAACGCATCCATATCGACGTGAACGATGTACTGAGACAAATCCCTCTTTGCCTCAAGTTGAGCAAGCTGATGCCAGTCCATTAGCACATTTCGAAACACCACAGCAACTACGGTTGCAGACCAGCTTGTCCACACCTTGCTCGACCTTGCCTGACGTAGGTTTTCGTCAGTTGCGCGGGTCAGCCTCACAATAGGAGATGTACATACTCGAGTCGACTCCTTTCGTGACTTCATCACGAAGCTTAATAATCCGCTCGATCCGCTCGGTGAGCTCCTTGTCCTTGCGCTTCTCGTTCTGGGCAATGGCTATGAACTCGGCATGCAGCCTGATGCAGTGCAGCGAGACAAACCTCGTAGAACTTGGACCCCTTAGATACCTCCGCTATGACCCGGTTGATCTCCGTTTGATCCTTCGCAAGCCTGTATCTCGCATGAGCTAGAAAAACGAAAGGAACTTCCGCGTCTGCTTGCCCAGCTTTATTCACCGACGGTCCGGCAAGACGCCTGAGCAGGCTGTCGGTGTCTGCAGTTGAAGAGGGCGGCTTCACGTCCCTTTCCGACATCGTGCTCGCTTGTGCCGTAATTCAGACGTGCCTACGTTCATATGGTGAGGTCATGAGCGTCCAGGATGTGCGGAGCGTAGGTCGCTGATGGACGATGTTGGCGGTCGCGGACAAGGTGCACAGGCGCGTCAGGCTTCGGCACCGCGGCCGCACGCGTGCGAGGACGCGGTCGCGTGACTCGTCCGGGCAGCCGCCGGCATCCTGCCGCCACCTGTGCACCGCCCGGTCAGCATAGAACATTGCTCAGCTTTGTGCTGGAATTTCATTCAAGGCGCGCTCCATAAGTCCGAGTTCAAGTTGTGCAAATACCTGGTGCCCCTGCATCGCGACTTTGAGGATGTCCTGCCAGTGAGTCGGAGGCAGACTGACGATGGGTAGCCTGATACGACGTGCACATATGTACATACCCCCAACGACACCCCGATACCAGAGTATGAATGCTGAGGGTTTGACGTTTGGCATTTGAGTCGGCGCTGGTGGATGGCATACCTTACTGATTTGTGGGCGTGGATAGCGCTAGCACACAAGCTGACAGGGCACCCTTTGAATACGAGAGTGCGTGCCTGTCAAGTTCGAAGGCGCGCATGCTGCACGGACGAGAAGTCCAATGACAGGAGGCAAATCCAGCCGCAGTGCGAATGGGTGATGTCCAGGTAAATAGAAACATACAGACTACAGTGGCAATCAGTCTAGTACAGCGTACTTCTTCAAGTGTTCTGGTATGGACGACTCGAGACCCTTGGCCTGCAGCCACTTTTTCGAGAAGAGCCGGCTCTGGTAGCGATACGCTCCGTCGCAGAGGAGGGTCGCGATCGTCTTGCCTACACGCCCATTGTCAGCAGTTGGACAGACGCGAAGGTGAAGGGGACGAACCTGGACCGAGCTTCTTCGCAAGTTCGAACGCGGCGACGACGTTCAGCGCAGAACTCGCGCCGAGGTAGAGGCCCTCGGTGTCGAGCAGGTCGTACAGCATCGCGATCGTCTTCTCATCCGGGATATTCAGCGCGCCGTCGATCTCCTTCACGAACGTGCCCAGGTTGTTCGTGATACGACCCTGGCCAATGCCTGTACCTCGGTGAGTCTACGCACGCCGTTCTGAGGGCAGGGATCTGACGCACCCTCGGTGATCGAGCCCCCACTGCGCTCGGTGAGCTTCCCGCCGCTGCTGATGTAGCTGTAGAGCACGCTGCCGGGCGGGTCCGCGAGCCAGACCTGCGTCCTGCCGTCACTGCGCTCCTTGAGCGCGCGCCCGGTGCCCGCGAGCGTGCCGCCCGTCCCGGTCGCACAGATGAACGCGTCTACCTTGCCCTCCGTCTGCGCCCAGATCTCGGGGCCGGTCGTGCGGTAGTGCGCGTCCGCGTTCGCGGTGTTGTCGAACTGGTCCGTCCAGATCGCGTTCGGGAGCGCCTTCGCGAAGTCGCGCGCCTGGTGGTTGTAGTTCTGTGGGTTCTCGTACGCGACCGCCGGCACGGGGTACACCTCCGCGCCGAGCATCCGCAGGAGGTCGATCTTCTCCTGACTCTGTGTGGAGGCGTCAGCGTGAGGAACGACGGGCGGCCTTGGGGGAGGGTATGCGGTCAGGGCGTACCTGCGTGTTGGGCATGAAGATTACACAGCGGTATCCCCGCGCTCTGCAGACATGGGCGAGGCCGATGCCGGTGTTGCCTGCGGTACCCTCGACGACGGTTCCGCCGGGCTTGAGCCTGTGCGCGACCGTTCAGCCACACGCAGCCGACGGCTGGACTCTGAGGCGCGCGGTACTCACAGACCTCGCTTCTCCGCATCGAGGACGACGCCGAGCGCAGCGCGGTCCTTGACACTACCGCCGGGGTTCTGCAGTTCGCTCTTCGCGACGATGTTGCACCCCGTCTGTTCCGAGAGCTTATTGAGCCGGATCTGCCAGGCGGGTGTGCGAGTCAGAACGACGATCGGACGAGGTACAAACGGCGAAGGTGTGTTGCAGACGAACCAGGGGCGTGTTGCCGACAGCACCGACGAAGCCGTCGACAGGGCGG